CACACGCACACGCACACGCACACACGCACGCACACACGCACGCGCACACACACACACACACAGACAGAGACACATACACAGACACAGACACACACACACACACACACACACACAAAAAAAAACACACACACACATCCACAAAACACACACACACGCACACACACACACACAGTCACAGACGCAGACACAGACACAGACACAGACAGAGACAGAGACAGAGACAGAGACAGAGACACAGACACACACACACACAGAGACAGAGACGAACAGACACAGACAGACAGACAGACAGACAGACAGACAGACAGACAGACAGACAGACAGACAGACAACAGACAGACAACACACATACATACACACACACACACATATCTATCCGTGTGTATATATATATATGTATATATATATACACACACACACAGAGACAGACAGTCTATACTATACCATACACCCAAACACGCCGTGCCGATGGCAACAAAGATAAAGATAACTACAAGCCGAGGAAAAATCGCAACGAAAAAGATTCAGGATGGGCCATCGATGATTAATGGTATTTTCATCGTAATTTCAATGCTGAAGGAGAAGTGAACGTCTTGAGCCCCGAAGCTGTAGATAGGTCCCTTGCAGGCCTCGCTGCCCGCTAGGGAGCCTGCCAGTTTAAGCTCCAGTCTCCGCCTCAAGGCTTCGAGTTTCGGGTTCTCGGGATTTTCGGGACTCGGGGGGTTGCCATGCTTCACAGACCAGAGAACTGGACCCTGCCGAGTAAGGTCCCCGCGGAAAGGACACTGGATGGGCCAGACGCCGGCGCTCTGCGGTAGCGGCATCGAAGTGGTATCTGGCGCTTGCGAAGCTAGACTATTGATTCTAGATGTACCAATGCGCAGATCAAGTTTGCTCTGAATGATGACTTTAGAATAAAGATTGAGGCTGCAGCATAGGTTTGCTTTTAGGAAACACAAAGACAAGGGGCAAAGCAAGTAGGGTCATCCTCCGGCGTTTCTATCCACCTAGTCGCTCGGGAACGGCTCCATTACGCTCTCTGTCTTGCTTGCTTGCAAGGCGCCTGGGGTTGGCTTCCCCTGCGCAGTCGCGCTACGCCAGTGTTCGTGTCCGGTGACGTTGGTGTGAGGCTTGGATGTGTCCCGACCCCCAAGCAGCTTTCGCTAAGCAACCCCTTGCCCCCTGCCAAGTATGACGGTTTTCACGGTCTCCCTTTCTCTGTCCCTGTGCAACACCTTCTTACTGACTCTGAAAGTAGTCGTTCCGCGCACACACCGGCCTAACTTTTAATTATACGGTCACACGCGCGAGTCTGTGGGATCTCGCAAAACAGAAGCAGAGTGAAATCAACATGTTGAGATCTCCATCTGTCGACTTCTTCTTCTTCTCACGGGCTGGTGTCTTTCGGTGTTGGTGTCCGTCTCTGTAACTTCTTCTTCAACGGCGAGATAAGCCCCCCGGGCATCAAGCCCGCCACGATGCAGAAAACCAGCCGACCCGCGCACAAATGCAAACCGAAATCGCAAACACGTGCAAAGCAAAGGCGCTCGGCCAATGGAAGCTGTTTACAAGCTCGGCCACAGAATTGAGAATCGCAGTCTGATGACATTTTGAATACCCCTCCGAGAGCACCCACATGGCTCAGCAACCCCCGGTTGCATCCCTCCACAGACATTCATCACATGGCTGTTGTAAAACAGGCGCATAAATTCGGACATTGCTTGGCTTTGCTGAAGGCTTGGGAGACACAATGCCTTTGAGTCGCAAGAAACGTGCACCAAGCGTCTCAGTGCGTTCCGGCTTTGCTTTTAGGGGCCGCGTGCCGGCCTCTCCACCGTCACGTGAAGGTAGGGGGGAAGCTTTGACAGCCGGGTAGTCCGCCGGGCATCCACCTGACACAGCAAAGACTAGAGTTTTTGCTTTAGGTTTCAGAATAACCAAGGTAAGACTACTTGCCAGCCAGTGTAACTGTGTAACTGAAAGCACGACTATCTTGGCAACTGCAGAATCTAAAGGATGTCCTGAAGCTCAAGTCATGTGCCTCTGTCAATCGCTCCACAGAAACGGAGAGCTACACCCTTTGTGCAAAGCGCCCAAGAGACTGCCGGGCCGCGCTTCACGGACAGTGGGTCATGAAGTTGAGATGGCGGAGTTAGTAGTGTCGTGTTCCTTAGAGATACGATCCAATTGCACATTTCAAGTTATTGTCGGCGCATGCGTCGACATCAGATCATCGTAACCTCAGCTCAAGGAAAAGCTTCAACCCTGCCGTACAAAGCATTCCTCAGAATGCTTACAGCTTGTGGCTCATGCCTTGCGGTCGCAGCGGGGGCACATCCACTGGTTGGAGCCGTCCAAGACCTGGAACTCTTGAGACATGCATTGCTGCATGACCTATGCCTATGACCTATGACAGCTTATGGCTGCAAGGCGGTGCAGGTAGGGATTTGTGTACACTAGGAGCATCTTTGGAGTCTTTGGAGCTGTCAGTTACGTGGCTGCAATCCCAGAAATTGCGCTCTACATTTTTGGAGCTGTTGGGCATCTGTCTCGAATCCGCTGTGGATGCCGCGTCAATCAGTACTGGATTGCAGCGGAGCTTCTGGGGCTGAATCACTGCGCCCCGAACTCCAAACCTCAAGTGTTCTGAAGCCCTGCGTCGTGGACCTGGAAGCAGCAACTGTCGGCCATCAGCCCCGATGCAGGCTAACAAGCATGGCGCCGATGACTGCGAGCTCTCCCGAATCTCCCTTTGCCAATCCGAAAGGTGTGACCTCACTTGACTTCCCAACGTCAAGGCCGCAGCTTGCAGAGCATAAACTCCTGTAAACAGGCCTTCAATCTTCAACCGCCACTGGCAAAGCCTAAACCTGGAAGCCAAACCTCCTCTCACCCAAAGCTGTTTTGCAAGCACCTCTTCTGGAAAAGCAGAGTCCTGGCTTTCATAAAGGATTCGGATTCACAGAGTCACGGACCGTCGAATAATGTCTCATGCAGCAAATAGGACCGAACACTCCGTGGCTCCTGGTTCTTACAGAAAACTCGCTACCCCTGACCTGATCATTAAAGCTTTTCTTCAGTTTACAGCTCCAAACATGGCTCGCTCAACTGACGTTGATCTCGTTGCGAACCAATGTGACGACGAACATAGGAATTTGCTGCGAAAAATCATTTGCCGTGCACGACGCGATGTCACTAACTGGTGAGCAGTGCGAGAAAATCCGGGACCCCAATATCGACCTTGAGTAGTACGGGTTCCTGATTGTATCTAAACAAAACTGGTAAGTCTACTTCCAAGAAATGCCCAAGCAATAGGATCCTCACTGTAAGGACGGTAAACGGTACCCCTTCTTCTTCAAGTAAGACAGGCTCCAATTCTGAAGCAGTAACCCTTGGCCTGGAGGATCTGCTCGAGGCGCACCGTGGGAAGCGGCCGCTTTGAGGCAGCCTGGATCGCTCTGGAGGGGGCTTGAGCTCCATAAAACTAGCAGGCAATGGCTTTTTTATGAGGGCGCTTTTTCCAACTGCAGGTTTGTAGGTAGAAGTGTCTTGCCGGAGGAGGTCTGGGGGAGGGCCTCATGGAACCACAGCAAACAGCCATTAGCAAACCCCGTCGACTCAGTGAACTAACCGTCATTAACCGTCAGCCCTCCGAGGCCCTTACCAGCGCTTCCGATGCTACGGCTCGCTTGTTGGGGTCAGCGACAGCATGCATGACGCAAGACTAGATGAGACATAAGAATCTGCACGCCTTGGACTCTTGACCACAGCTGTTCAGACAATGGTCTTTGGTTTGCGGGAGGGTTTGTTCAGGTACGGTGATTCGCGGATGGCCAATCTACTGGGACCGTTGCAGAGAGGCTCTTCCATTTTTTGATCTTCCGTCTTGGCTCGTTTCTCCAGCCACCACTATCAACAAGGCCTCGAGTTCCGTGCTGTTGACAGCCACAGGGCCTGAGCGATCTTCAAGGCGCTATTTGGGCTTACGTGCCGTTGTAGCAGCGACTTCTCGAAACTTGTTGAAGGTGGTCTGGAGGCGTTGCGGACGTCGGCATGAGGTTTGTGTGGCCTGGGACACAGTCGCCCCCTGCCTCGAGCTCCTGATCTGAGTCTTCGGAGGAAGAGCCGCGCCCTCTCAGTCGCAGAGGCTACACAGCTTCCGTCGCGGCATCTTTGCTGGTCGATGCTTTCTCGGCGGCAGCTTCACAGCATTTAGCATGCTCCTCCTCCGCAGTCTTTAATACACCTGCTAAAACGGCAGAGTCTGCTTCCACGTACGGCCGCAGGCATGCCACCGAAAGGCTCTCCTCTCTCCACTCTGCCCCCAGAAAACGCACCTTCCATGTCCGGGTTTCTGGGCACTCCTGCAGAAGCTTTACGGGCCAGGGCAGGCGGCTGCCTCCGAAGCTCCAGCACACCTGTCCCGCTCGGAGGCCGTGCAAAGCAGCCTTCGCTTCCGAGGTGTTCAGTGCGATGCCCGCTGGAACTGCAAGAGTTCCGGGAGTGGGTTTGGCGGAGCTGGGAGTGGGGCCAGCGATTCCTGGCCGCAGAAGGTGGCTGAGTTCAAGCGACTCGAGATCAAAGTCCGACACAAAGACCTCTTCTTCCACTGGCGGCTTGTTGGCCTGTAAACTGCACACTGGCAGGACATCGCTTTCCTTCCCGTCTTCAAACCTGACTTTGGCGAACTGGTGTTGCGGCCGCCCGTCCCAAGTCACAACGCCTGGGCGTCCGTTGACGCTCACCACGTCGTTAACGGCAAAGTTAGTGGAGCCAGGCGCAGTGTCCAAATGACGAACCAGGAAGGGCCGCTTTTCTTGAGCGCAAATGGCAATGATCCTTGCCGGGCGCGCCGGGTGCATGGAACAATCCCACACCAGCTGGCCTCACTGCTTTAGGAAAATCATCATCCGCTGCGACTGTTCTCGCATAGAAGCTGCATCTACGATTTGGAATCCTGGTTGTTTTAAATAACTACTGGCATAATTGTGTGGAGTTGACATGTAGATAGCAATCGGTGATAAGTAGATATCAACAGTGTGCTAAATGTTATAAAGGTGTAGGATACCTATATCTTATCGTTACCCGATATTACTAATGTCAAGATCGTCTGAGCTAACTACATAATTAAGTTATTCATCCTTTACAGATGTTAGGGTGAGTTAAATGGAGTTCCCGATGTCAAAATAGCTAGTGCAATAAACTGAAATTTATAAAAATCTGACATTATTCATTTGACATATAACTCATGGGCCACATAGACTTGTTACTGGAGGAATCACATATTCTAGGTTTTGGATCCAGCTTTTATAAAAGGGAAGCATATCATACATTTCGATGAATGCACAGACAGAAAGAGAGAGAGAGAGAGAGAGAGAGAGAGAGAGAGAGACAGACAGACAGACATAGAGAGAATGACATGTGTTTGATTCTTGGAAGAAATTTTTTCAGACTTACCGTATCAATGTTGTATATTTGCTGTCGCCATACATGTCAACACGAGAGCCTAATGGCCTAATGGCCATATCATCGTTTTGCAATCGTACTTGAAGCAACCATGGGGCCCGGCTACGAACATCCCATATAGCTTCCATAGCCCCAAGCGTGGTGGAAATTCGCCATGCCGTGCAAACCCGCTACCAGGACGAGAGCCCAGTCTCCATCCCCAAAGAAGTTCTTCGCCAAACCATTGAGAAGTCGTGCGTCCAACTGCTGCCAACGTCGCAGGCCATCGTCCAGTTGTTGACGGGCAAATGCCCCCAGGTCAATGCCAATCTTTCCAATTCCGGAGCATTCCAGAAAATTCAGATGAAGGAGACCACCGTCCGTTTGCTCATGCATGCAAGCGACCCAAGCCACGGACCTGGCTGTCGAGTGGGATGCCATCCATGTGCAGGCCATCATCGAGACCATTCGTGAGGAAGACCTGGACCACTTGTTCGGCCAAGCCAAGCGCAGCTACCAGAACAAGCGGAAACAGTACCCAGTTTGAGGCTGCCACCTCCAACTGCAACCGTGAGCACAGGCTGCCGGTTGTTTCGGCATGCATGCACCTGGGAGGGGTTGTTACATCTACTGCCACCCCGGTGCCGGAATTGTACTTCCGTTTCCTCGTGTGCAGAGGGGACGGCCCATCCCCTATTACAGCGTGTGCTCTTCAGCTCGCGACAGTTGACAGTGTCGATCCGTCGAAACCCCTGCTGTCGTCTCTGGTGGTGTCCAAAAACAAAACAAAACAAAACAAAACAAAACAAACACACAAACACACACACACACACACCGCTGCGTTGATTCTTAGGGCGGTCGCGTCGCAGAGAAATTTTGCGGCCCTCTGGCGAAATCTGTGCAAGCGTGCCAGTGCCGATACACAGCATCACCCTTGGCGCTTGCCAAGGCCCGCGCAAGCTTTCTCGTCAGGGTACTCTCAGCTTCCGTGAGCGAGCATTTTCTCTTGCACCCAGCCTCTTCGTGGTTGGGACAGCTCGCCGCTGATGTTGACGATGTTGTGCATTATGTGCCAGGAGTCATGGACCTCGTACGCAGCGGAAGGGAAATCCCGGCACTTCTGAGCGCCACCAGAGAAGACCCGAAGTGGTGCATCAGTCAAGTCCGTCGAATAAACAATCTATGCAGTGCCTTGCTCGCTGCAGCCTGCTTTACCCTCCACTCACCACGGAGGACATTGCCGTTCCAGGGACTTGTGCCACCCACCAAAGCACCCCACATCTTTGGACCGGCCTTGCCCACTGCCAGTGCGCGCATGCTCCATCGAGAGCCCTCAGAAGATGACACGCCCGATTCCCTGGGACGCCCATATTTCCCGACTCCAGATATTACGGCCTGGCAAGTCCACGGAGGGCACAGGAGTCGTCGGCGCGCTTTTTGCAACAGAGGCCAAAGGCCCATGCAAGCGCAGCCAAAGTGTTGAGGGCCCTGAAATTTGACACAGAACAGAACAGAATCGATACTTGGTCAAGCATGGAACGCTGCATGGGCCTCTGGAGAATGTTTGGTACCGAATACGTCGCCAGACATTCGGTAGCCAAGCCTCCGACTTGCCGGGCGTTTTTCCACCCCGTCGCCGCTATCTGCATGCCATCGTGGTGCCAAGCAAAACATATTCAGAGACCAGGGACAAGTTGTGGAGGCTGCAGAGACCGCCATGGAGCTCATCACTTTGAATGCCAGTTGGTGAAGCCAAAGAAACCCACCAAGAAGCAGCTCGAACTGCTGCAGCACATTGTGGATGGCCCCGCCAGGCTCGCCCGCAGGGTGGCGCTATCCACGCTCACGCCGTGGTGGCCTTCCACCACCACGACGGACGCTTGGATATTGGCAAGATTGGTTCCCTTTGACTGACATGATGGCCCTCTATGCCACATGCTCCATGGACTTCATCACCAACGAGCAAGGCTTCGTTCCCATCGACTCCATCCAATACCCGCTGCTGCCCCGCAAGCCACAAACCAAGCAGCCACCGTGCAGCTCCCATACCAGCTCTGCAGCGGGCCGCGACAAGAAATGCTTCTGCCCAGCTGCATGGCCATTCCACATGCACGTTCATGTGTACTAGATTCACTAGATATCGCAACAATGCCAGCCAAGCATCTGCGTCCAACCGCACTTGGCTATACAATATACATACATACATACATACATACATACATACATACATACATACATATATATACGCACATACCAATAAATAAATATACATAAAAGTAAATAAAAACATAATATAAATATCTATATAAATACAAATATAACTATCAATATAAATATAGATATAGTTATAAATATAAATAAACAACGAAACAAACAAATAAATATACGTGTATATATATACACACATGCATTTGTATGCACACGAATACTGCTCTGTAGTATGCCTTTTGCCTTACACCGTTGCCCTATGTGAATCTTTGAATAGATAATCCGTACACACATTACAAATAGAAGCGGAAGCAAGCTTGTACTCTCCGTCTATAACTCAAGCTAATTCCTCCTAAGCTTTTAGCTCAACAACATAAGACATAAGTATGTTAAGTAATTACAAAACAACCGGGATTCCAAGTACTTTTTCGTCCTGATAATAGTCTTCCGATGCACTACGGCACATGACTCCTGCAAGCACCAAACAACACAAGAAAAAACAGAGAGCTGAGATCCTGGCCGAGGCAAAGCTTTTTGCTGAGGGCTCTTCTTTTGAGGCGCCTGGCATCCTCCTCTGAGGGACCCGATCTCTTGGGCGTAGCTGCTTGCCGGCTTGGCTCTTTTCCTTTGAGGTTCTCCGGCGCTGCGACCTCTTTCAGTATGGAGCTGTCGGACAGGCACTTTTCCAGTTTCGGGAGTTTGTCCTGTGGGCATCTTCTGCGCAGCTCGGCCTCAGGGTAGATTGCCCCTAGCCGAAGGCTCAGGCTAAGGTGCAGGTGGTTCTCGACTTGGAAGAACCTCTCCGTGGACTCAGTTTTGGGAGCCTCGCTGCATGTCTCATCTGGTGGCGTCGCCACATTAGCCACGTCTTTCCATCTGCGCAGGCGCCCCATTCGCCGGCAAGGCTTCCTAAACTCCCTAGAAGTCTTCTTGTAGCGGGTTTCCAGTTGTCTTTCTGTTGACAGTGGTGTCTGGGAGTGTGGAGTTGAGTCTCGGCAGTCGCGTAGAAGGCCGGAGTTCGGGCGCTGATTCAAGCAGTGTTTCTGAGAGGGCAGGTGTAGACATTAGCATATTCTTCCTGTTGAGATGTCACGGTGCAGCACATCTACAAGAGTGCCACTGCTGAGTTCGTTAATGCGGGCGAAAAGCTTCGGGGCATCAAGAACAATTGCACTGCTGCTTCTTGAGCTAAATGCGGCAGGTGACTTGCAGTGCTTTCGCAAGTCCTGTTTGGCCAGCAGTGGAAAGCAGCTGAGCATGCGTCTAAAGCAAGCAGATGCATCTGAACTGCTCTTGGAAAACTAAGGTACTCTTGCAGCATGTCGGCTCAAGGCAAAAAGTTGCAACTTTCTAGCCGTTTCACGTTTGGGGACTCGAAATGCAAGCTGGCTCTCACCTGACCCAAGACTTCAAGATCCTCAAAGCTGTCGCTTCGAGCCCAGATCCGGAAGCTGTTGTTGGCTGAAAGATCTTGCAAGATGTTCCCAAGCGGTTCTGGATGCTACAGTAAGGCTTTTGAGCTAAGCGTTTCAGCGAGAGCAAGGCCGAGCAGGGAGCAGGGCAAAAGAAAGCCAAAAAGAAGGTAAAGGGAGCAAGTCGTAAGAACTCAAAGGGGGTTGCAGTCTCGATAGGAGGCATGTCACGCGTCCTATGAGCCAAGGCCTTCTTGGCCTTCGCCTTCGGGTTCGACTTGCGGCCGCTTGCCGCCGCCTGCTCGAGGCACGCCGGGATGGGGGATCTGAATCTGAGGGAGACACTTGGGAGCAAGTGCAATCCTTCAAGCTCGGATGCCGTCGGTTCTGCGAACAAGAACCTAGAGATCCCAGAATCTTTCAAATTCGCAACTCGAAGTCCCTGTCAGAGCTTGTGACAGCCTCCTGCGCCTCGCGCGCCTCCAGGGCCATGGCGACCTTACTCAGAGACATGGATCTGCACAATCCGACCGAGGGTGACTGGAGCCCCAACCGGAGAAAGTCCAGCCCGAATCTCCATGAAGCTCTCTCGCTTCTCGGATGTGTGGCTGGCGTCCTGGGATCCCACGCACTGTCAAGAAGCTGGGACGGAGGAGGGCCGGGCCTACGGACCTACATGCTGGCAGTAACACGCAAGGAAGGGCGACGGTCTTTCCACTCGCGCACACTTATATGAAGGTTGCAAACACCAGAATCATTGAGCCGTTCTAACTTCCACGGCTCTGGAGTGGCCACAAAGTCAGAGTACTCTTACGAGACAACTCCGAAAGATGTCCGCATGAATACCAAGTAAGGAACCCTGAGCACAGTCCTGACTGCACTGTACAATCGTGGAAGATTCCCCCTCGAAGAGAGTCGGAACGAAGTCCCCGCCACTTCCTGATTGCTTTGCATTAGCTTTGCAAGCTTGAAGCCGCTGGAAGTGACAGGCAAGTGGTCTCAAAGGACACGGCGGATTCTCAAGTCCGACACCTTGCGTTCCCAACATTACTGAGGCTTCAGAACATGTCATGGCTCTTGCTCTCCAACCCTCTACGTCACTCTAGCAATGTTGGAACTTCCTTTTTTGTCGAGCCACCGTCAGCGAGCTCTCGCTGCAGCCAGTCGAGCAGCAGCGCGCTAAATTCTGTGGCGTCCGCCTGCTTGTCATGCTGACCGGAAAAAATTTAACTCAGCAGCATCTAGCGGCTTAGGTATCCATGGAGCTCTTCCGTGAATTGTTTTGTCCATGATCGTGCGCCATTGTTTGATGTTTTGCACGGCTTATCACAACAGCGTTGAAGCCTGTGCTTGGGACATAGCACTCATTAGCACTCCCTGAAGCAATGCCCTGCCTGCTCCAAGGCATCCACACGTGCAGCCGTGACGAAATCCTGAAAGATATGGGGTCTTGATCCAGGCGCCGGTAGCCTAGCCTAAGGCTTTAACTTTAAACTTTCTGGCTTTGGAGTACTTGGTTGGAGCCGAGCATAAGTTTTAGTAGCTACGTTGAGCTCACAGTCAAGCTCTGCAGAAGGCCCGACGTGGCAAACTCTCCATGCCGACCAAATCTTCGATCAGCACACGAAGCCCTAAACCTCATAAGCCATAATCCCTTTCTCGGCAAGAACAGATGCAGGTTCCTTGGGGTCCACGACACGCGACTCGCCTTCCGCCAGCAAGGCGAAGACCTCAATTCAGGACGACACGATGAACAGCTGATCGTCGCTTATCAAAGTCGTGATTAAAGGCGGCCACATTACTGAATGACACACGTGGAACAAACAAAAAGAATCGCACCCCCCTGAAGTCTGAGTCATGTGAATCAGCACTGCTGCTGCAGCGCGGGGCACTCGTTGCAATGCAGCAACTACTTGGCTCTTGCAGGTCGTCCTGCGATCGGCCGACAACTTCCAAGGTTGGGTCTAGCTGACAAGTCGGACAAGGGTTACCGCTATGCTGTCGGAAAGCCCTGGTAAGGTTGGCTGCGGTACCCTCTCGCCTCAACAAGCAGTATCGGAAGTCCAGGTTGAAGAACCTCGGCTTCAGTGGCGGCGATGCTTCCGTCAGGGTCCAGGCTTTGGTGTTGGTTGCTCGCTGGCATCGGGGCATCGGAATGTCTGGTTCAACGATTGCTTGATCGAAGTATTGTGTGATGTGCTGGTGCGCGCATGCTGCAAATCTTAAATTCAAAGCGAGGAAGTGCCGCTGCAGAGGCTGAGGCAGGTTTCGCGTTTTGCTGAATTTGGCGTCCTGGCAACCGCCAATCCCTCTCGCATGCCTCACTTCAAGGCCGATTATGCGAGTCTCATGCTCCAAACCTCTCAATCCAAATCCCAGAGCCCACATGCCAAGGGAGCAAGTACTGAAGCAGGCTGTTGAGATAACAGGTGGCACCGAGATTCCTGCGCTGCGCAGTTGGCAGTTCAAACTGGTGTAGGTTAGGGCACCATGGCGCTTTAAGGCTTGGGGACAGCGTCTGCGCCAGGTTTGGCTTCGGGCTTGGCCCCGTACACGAGAAGCCAAGCTAATCACTACCACATAGTTTCGTGCAGTCTCTCTAGGCTCTACAACACCGTAGATTCACCCGGCAGTGGCAAGCCTCAAACCGGCAGGAAGCCAGCTTCCCTCGCTCTTCAAACGGCAAGACGTGGGAGGATCCTGGCTGTTGAGTGCATTCTTCACGCTTGCTGTTTCGAGCCCGTAAGTTTTCGGGAGAATTCAGGAGGGACCCGACAACTCTCCGGCCTTTCACTCTTCAACTTCTGAGCTGGGGCATCCGCCTTGAGTTTTGCTGGATGTACCACACCTAAAGCTCGGCTGGGCGGTTCCTGATAACGAATCCCTCAGTCGATGTTCGTCAAGCCCATTCAAAAAGGAATGGTGCCTGCTTAACAGAGACCCCAAGACCGACCCTGATTTGAAGCGACACAAATGCCTGCCACAATCGAAGCATATATATATATATAAATAAATGTGAACGACTATGCGGGCAACTAGACAGCGCTTACCTGGCCCAAGGCCTCCATCAAACCCAACCTGGAACTCAGGCCACGAGCCTCGTCAAGCGCCCTTTTTAAGGCGGTCTCCTCCTGCCAGATGCCCTGCTTGTCCTGCGAGGTTCATGGTCTGGAGGACCGGTGGACTCGATGTTCAAAGTCGCCCCACCTCGTCTCTCCTTCTGGGCGAAATGTACGATACTGCAACCAACATATCACTACACCTTCGCAGAACTCGGTACAAACACTTGTTGATGTACGAGTAGTACAGTGTATCCATTCCAAGCTCTCACAATGCATTGCACCCTGACATGGGCCAAGCCACATTGAAGTCGATGGCCAGGTAAGGGTTCGGAAAGCTCCCTGCAGGCCGAAGGATGGCTCCAGGAATCCCACAGCTCATCAGGCTCTGGCGATAAACCGGACAGAAGTCGTATCAACACTGCATTCTCAAGTCACGTGCTTTTGGACCCCCAGCAGCCCTCACACAGTCCACAGTCTGAAGCGCGGAAGGTCATGTCGGAAATCCAAGCGAGTGGCGACTGGGCAGCACGATGGAGAAACGCTACTTACATGCTGAACAATGCAGGATCGAGAGCCGGAGGGCTCGCCTGGCGGCACCAGCTGCGTTTCGCCCTCTGCTTGCACAGGCCTTGCAACTGACAGAGCCAATCCGAGAAGGACGCTGAGCGGGTGGGGTGAAGCTGAATCTTCAAGTCTAAATCCGTGCATTCTCAGGCCGCAATAGACAAGCTGGAGAAGGTAGCGGTACATGGGATCATCCTCCATCCGCCTGAGCCCGGGAAGGTATTTCTTTGCTCAGGAATGCGCCGTCTTGCACGGCACGGGTCCGTTGAGGCGGTCCGGTACAGACCAGCCGGGACAGCGCTGTCCTTGCACTGCGAATCGTTTTTTTTTCCGACCGGTCTCTGGAGCCGTGCTGGGACAGGGTTCGCAGGAGTTGGTTTGAACAAGGCGTTTACGAGTACAGATGGCATTGGCACACACACACACACACACCGCGTATCAACATGACAAGACATGACTACCTGGCCACCTGGAGTACATGGCTGCAGCATCGCATAAATGCGAGCAGCTTGTTGAACAGGATAAGGTACATGGCTGCAGCATCGCATAAATGCGAGCAGCTTGTTGAACAGGATAAGGCTCCATGACACTGCGGCATAACATCTCTGTGTGCTCAGGTCGCGACTGTTTCGCTTTTCTCGAGGAAAGCGAAATCCTGCCCAGATGTAGGACGAAGGCAGCGGCTATGCGAGAAGCTGTCTTCCCCCTGCGCAATCAGTGGAAGCAACCTCAAGTCGACCAGCTCGCAGCACGATCCCGGACCTTGAGTAGCAAATGGTCATATATTGACTCTTCACATACGCACGTAACATGATGGCATCGGGTCCAAGCCGTTTCAGTACACTCCCAGCCCCTTTGGAAGCCTTGGAACTAAACCCGGTCCAAACCGATACTCAAGCCCAAGAATCCACATCGGAGCATCTCACTCTCAAACGCCTTCCATCACAAAACATCAACCGAAAGACAGCGCGCGGCCCCACGGGCCTCGAGAGGCGGCGATGCCTCTGCGGCCTTCTGTGCCTCTCCAGAGAAGTTTAGCGAGTTGGATGGTATCGGACTTTTGCTTTTGAGTGAGACGTGTTGCGTACCTCGCAGACGATGAAGCCCTGTAACTTTCCGAATGTAGGAAACACTTCCGGCGCATGCTGCCGCCAAACATAGTGCAATGCTTAGGCCCCTGCACACTCATGCCATTTTCGAGCTTTCTCAACCAGCCGCTGCTGAGATCGCAACCCGTTTATGCTAAGCCATACGACCCGGAGGTACACGTCTCAGAGATCCTTCAATCGTCAACAAACCCTGGCTTCGAATTCGATCCAAACTCCTCGAATGGGACCCTGAAAAGGCCGGAAAGTCTCAGTCTGAGATCCCCAAGAACGCAAACCGAGGTGCGGCCCGTACCGCGCGGGCGTCGGCTTGGCTCTGCGCTTGAGACTTCCTCTGGGGTGCGCACGTATGGACGTTAGAGGCTTTAGAGTCGGTCGGTGCCTTGGTGATTGACTCTCCTGTTTCAGAGCCACGAAGTAGCTTTTGTGCTTTACAGGCCTGCAAAACCCTAACACCTGCAGAAACCTCCTTGGGTCTCGGTTGGAATTCGAAAGTCTTCGCAGGAAACCTCCGGCGTGGCGGACTTGTTTGAATTCGGCACATCTCCGACAGAGCTTGAGTCCGAACTGCGAATTCCCTGATAACGTTTAACATTGCCTCTTTTTCGGCGCCATGCCAAACCGCTCTAAGCCCCCCCCCTCCGAGCTCAGCAGCTGAGCCAAAAGTGATGGAAGCCGACGCTCCTGTCTGCAAGGAGCCTCACGTCCCGGGCCGTGGCCGTCTCTTCCAACCAAAGCTGACGATATCTGACAGTTCTTACATTCCGAGAACAGCTGGAGTAAAAACACAGGTGACTGCCGCTGTTTTACCCACTCCGCGCAAGTGGTCCTTCTCGGAGCAGGTGGCTTGCGGCGTAGCCTTGCTTTTCGTACGTTCATGCCTTCCCTGACTTTAGGACTGCGGCTGCAGGAGGGCTTTCTGCTGCGGCCCTGGGCTGGCACTGAACGTGTCGGTCGCTCACAGTGCCTAGGACCCAGTGGTGCGACTGTTGCCAGCCAGATCGTTGGGAAAGGCTATTTATTTTGCCAATGAACAAACTGAAGAATGAGACTTACATCGCAAGCAGCACGGTGCTCCAAGTCCCGCATGCTTCGCATGGAGATGTACCTGCCTTCCTCATCGGCCATGAGCTGGCTGAGCTGTGTTCCCTTCCCCCTGGCTCCGCCTTCTCAGCTACCACAAGCCCTCATAGGATGCTGGAATCGATCGTGCAGAATTATAACTTATTTTTCGTTTAGAACTTCTCAGGTATGTCTGCGTAGCAAAGGGGAGGAAACGACGCTGACTTGTCGATTTTCGCAGACTGTGTGACGTTGGTGGAGCCCTGAATACACTTTCTGATGCATGCTGCTCGGTACAATGTGCAGGTCAGTGCATGGGCGTATAGAATTGTAGCTGAGCCGAGCCACACTAGTCCTCCTCACTCTAAATTTTAACCGCGAAACACAAAGGCTACCCATTCATTCAGTGCTCACCTACGGTTAGCTGTGCTGCGATCATGTGCATGAACGACTTGGTAATGGTCATGCGGACTACATCTTGGCATGCAGTGCTGCATAGTATGTTCCGTGTGTTATTATCCACGAAGGCGAGCTTTACCAACGTGACCACTGCGGGGTCGTTAGCGAGCACTTCACAAGGAGCGATTGCCCAACCACTCTGCTGTTTCACCTGCAGATACCGACGGCTCCTGTGCCTAACAGTATCTAGAACCTGAAAATGTCTACTTGTCGTGGCAGGCTTTCGTTCTCCACGCGCCCACAGCTTGGCACTGGCTGTTGTGACGCTGACGATCACTTCAGAACACGCTTATCGGCTGCCCAGCAGCCTTGGAGCCTTGTGTCGCTTTTTGATCTTTCGACCTGCCTTAAGAACATGAAGGATACAAAATAAGAGTTTTTGTTTGCATCCAGCCGCTGGACCGCTGCTCTCACGCATCCAGCTGTGTCAGCATTGCCACTCCTCGCTTCACCCAGTGGGACTCCTGGCGCAAGCTTTTTCGGGAAGATCCCGGCTGGGGAAAGTCTCGACTCATTCGAAAGAAAGGCCTGTGGCTTATTTGTCGACTTTAAGGCTTCGACAGAAATTGCTTGGAGCTCCATCGGGCTCCCTCTTTCGAGGCAAAAGGCATTCGAGTGTTGATCAGCGTCGACGACCACAACCAAACAGAACTACACTCCTTTCCACACACTCCTAGCTGCATGCAGCAAAGAAGCCGGGTGCGAGGAGCGCAACTTGATGGGCATGACCTGAAGGATCGCGCTTGGACGCGGCTGATGGCGTCCGTTGGTGTAACGGCTGTAAGCTTTACGTGTAAGAAACGGAGTCCAACAGCAAGCTCGGCAAGACTCTTTACAACCTGTGAAGAACGGCCTTCAGCCCCAAGAAGCTGACAACAACTTGAGCCCTCTCGAGTCGAAAAGCCAGCCGAGCGACTTGGGGGCTTAAATGCTGCTGAGGCAAGAGCGAAGTTCGTGCTGTGGCCGGTGGTTGACAGAACCCCTTTCCGCGTGGACACCTCATAGCAAACGTTCTTGAAATTGAAGCTCCGTGGAAAGGACATCGCTCCGAGCTGCCTACATCCTAGTCAATTCCATGGCCCTGCTTCGTGGACCGGCACGGAAACAGCATCGCCTTGTAGAGAGGGCAGTCGTACCATGGGAAGGTTCGGAGCTCAGCCTGGCTTTGGGGTACTGACTCTGGATTCCCTCAAGGCTAATTACCACTCCCCCGAAAATTTGACGACCCCGGCCTCAGCTTGCTGCTTACTCACATGACATGATTTAGCAGGCCCCAAACGGAAGGCGATGAGCAGACTGGTGAAAAGGGGAGGGGTTGGCGTAGGCGTCGGGCGACATATGACAGATGATTCCTCTTTGGATCTAGCAAGAGTACACTGTGCACCAATCTGGGCACCCGCCGCCGCGGGCATTCCTATGCTTCTGTTTTGATTCAGGCGGTCACAGGCATGATGCCAGACCAGCTCGCACAACATTGGCGGATTCGGAACGAAGGTCTTGATTTCGGCTGACATCACACCTTGGACTCCTGAACCACATCCCGGCAAGCTTGTTGCAAACCCTGCAACAAGGAAAAACGGCCTTCTTGCAGGGAACGATCCAAAGCAAGGGCACTGACACCTGAGATGCGTCCAGCTTTCAGGGTTCGCGTTGTGGACGATTTCTGGGAGGTGTCCACAACTTAGGGGGCCTTACCTGTAAGCATTCAGTGTAGATGGCTATCCTCGACCACCTAAGCTCTTGAGCCCGGGCCAAACCCGGCAACGGCGCCACCCTAAACTCTGATACTCGAAGGCTCGTCGAAGACTCCTTTTGCTGCCGGGAAACATAGAGAACCTTCAAGTCGCTCTCTGCCAGCTGCCACCTGCTGCGAGGAGGAATCAAAATGGCTCAAGTCTG